GCTTTGATGATCACTAAGTAAATGTTGCATCACATGGAAACTTAGAGAGCTCACCTATGTGAGAGAGAAGTGTAGTTGCTTCAAAGGAAAACTGTTCAGGCTTAGTTCTTTAGAAACTCTCGCAGACCGATGAAGGATTCTATGGAAAAGAATGGATCAAACAATGATAACTTAACTAGGAACATGGATTATGTGTTAGATGTATTTCAATTACTAAGTAACTGAATAATTCATAGACAATGTATTTATTAGATAGTTGGTAAATACTACATACTATTCAGGGAATGTTCAAAGAAAAACTTATTTATCTTATGCATAATTCTTTCTTCTTTTATTGAGTCATTGTCCTTTCCTTTTTCATATGGGGGATTGTTGTTGTTTGAAAAAAAGGAGAATAAAAGGCATATCCATCCTACATTGGAAACTTGACAAACATCCATACATTATATAAGAATTGTACTTGTATATATTGTAAATAACAAAATTGAATTGGGTTAAAGCTAGCTTGGACTTTGGTTTGTATGGGCTTGGGCTTTTGTTTGAGTTTGAACTTGGACAATATTAATTGTCAAAGATTAGGCATTGGGCCATGGGGGCCGTGAGCCACATGTGTTAAGCTCAATAATGATAAATTCAATTTTGTATTTATATTATTTTAAGCTATGTATGTTTGATTGATTAAATCAAATTAATCAGATAATGAGAATCAATTGTAACTGTTGCCACGTGCAAAATCGTCAATTCCGCATTATGTGGGATAATTATTGGGATATTAAAATATCCCCCTCTATGATTTGAAAATATAGAACACTCAATTCTTACTTAAAAGAAAATTCATCTTCTCAAAATTAATTTTAAATTTCTACACAACGAAAAATTCTAAAAAAAAATTACTTTCTTGCGAGACATTCCAAAAATTTATGATTTTCTTGGTTCAGTTCGTAATGGGATTATTAATCTCAAATAGATTTGTTTTATCTGTGAAGCATCCAGTGACGGCCGAATTTTCTTCCATGAGATGACGTACAATGTGAAACTCGAATACGTTCTTATTTCAAATATGTTGTTTGATTTTGATTAGGACATCTCGATTTTCACTCATTATTTTGCCAACAATCTAAGGCCGTTTTTTCAAAAATTTTAAGATAATTATTGCATCTAAGAGTTCATTATCATCTTTGTCTCTTGTCTTCACTACATTACTCAAGCTAGCATACATACATGATAACTAGAATAAATATCTGAATGAAAATGTAAGCAGGCAATAGCATACAAATAAAAAGTAGGGTAGTTTATAGATAGGGAAACTAATTTAAACAATTCTCAAAAAAGAGAGTCAAATTCCACAATATATATGCCTAATTAATAAGTCTTATATGTCAAAAGATTTTGAATCATTTAGATAAAAATTACGTCTAGCTATAAAAGTTTGAAAATTATTAGAATTGGTAAAAAATAAATACAATAAAAGAATTTGATCTAAGTGTGACAAAAAATAAATAAATAAAAATAAGAATTTTGATCTACAAATAAAGTCCACAAGATTTTTGGGCCTGGATAATTTGATGCGGTTGAAAAATTTGGAGCATATGCAAATCAGGCCATGCCTACACCAATCTAATTTATCAAAACAAATAAAGTTTAGATATTCTCTAAATATATAACAAAATTAAAATTAATTATAAATGTAGCATTCAACTTTTTAATTATCAATCAAACTATTATTTTATCATAATGGTATTTATTTACATTAATATAATTTTTTAATAAAAATTCAAAACCAAAAATAAAAATTATTCTGTAAAAAATTGGACTAATCGGATCCAATACGGTTCGAAATCAAGCTATGTATTAACTTAAATTTTCAAGCCCAATCCAAAATTGAGTTGGACTTACCATGCACGTACTTGAAACGACATCCCATGACCTATAAATTGCCACATCTACTATATATATATATATATGAATATACTATTCGCTCTGGTATCGCACTACACTATGCTTCATAGATTTGAATTTTTACAAAAGTAATAATGATATTTTTTACATAAAAATAATATTTAAACTTTTAGGATATAATGTACTCCAAATTTTATAATTGAATAAAAATGAACATATTATTGAAAAAATATTTCATTTAAATTATATAATATAAAATCATCTTTTGATAGAGTTATTATATATTTATTTATGAAATTGACTCTCAATATGTTTTTGTTATCTTCTTTTAATTAGATCATACTTGATATCTTTTTAAATAAATAAACTTCAAAACATGATATATATATATACATATTTATATTACACATGTGACTTTAAATAAATACGTTGTACAGTTAAATATAAAAAATCATTAACAACTAATCAAAATTTTAAAATAAAACTTTTTAAAATTAATTTAACAATGTTATCTTGTATAATTAATTATTTTACATAACAGACAATTGAAAACTAATAAACATATTTATGCAAATATTAATTGAAACATACTTTTAAGACAAAGTAAACATTAACTTTGTGTTTGTGTTTGTTTGAGCGATTTTGCAAAAAATTTATTATTTATCTAATTATTTTTTTTTTCAAAAACATCAAATCAAACACCTATTTTTTTACTTTTTTATATTATTCTAAAAATCAATTATACATTTAAAATATCACATCAATACTTATTTATCACATCATACAACTATTTCATTTTAAAATTTTATTATTCAAATCCCAACTCAAAATCCAAACTTCCAAACAAACATACTTTAAGGGTGTGTTCGTTTGATGGATTTGCACAAAATTCCACTATTCATCCAAAATTTTTCCCCCAAAAATATCAAATCAAACACTTATTTTTTATTTTTTATATTATACTAAAAATCAATTTTACATTTAAAACATCACATAATATATACCAAATATATAAGTAAATATGGCTCTATTAACGAAGCACAGTATTTTTTAATGAGATGATTTTTGGCGTGGTATGAAAAATATTAAAAATATTATTTTAGGTTGAATATTTAAATTTAAATTTTTTGTAATAATTTATTGACTATTATTAGTTTTGGGAATAACAATTGAAATTGGTGTTGAGAGAATGTGTTTATTTGTAAGATTATGATTTTTTGTTTTGGTTTTGAATAGTAAATTTTTGAATTGAAATAATTGTCAGATATGATATAAATATGTATTGATGTGATATTTTAAATGTAAAATTAAATTTTAGTGTAATTGAGTAAATAAAAAATATGTATTTGATTTGATGTTTTTGAAAAAAAAAATTGAAATAATAAAATTAGGGGTAAAATCTTACAAGTAAAGATTATAGATTAATTTTTAAAAAGTATAGAGCTTATACAGATTATTAGTCCAATTATATCTCGAGATATATTAGTATTTTTTGCAAAAATAATTAAATCTAAATATTTTTTCTTTTACGGTATTAATTATCTATTATTTTAATAATATAATCATAAAAGTAAAATAAACAAATAAATAAGAGTAAACGATCAGATGAAATGATTATTTTTATTTTGTATTATTTCAATAATATGCAATAAGAAATCTAATGACACCTAATGAATAAAACGAACATTGCTCTTTTACATAAAAAAAAAAAAAATTTAAAAAAAATTCCTCAAAAATGAAAATAATAATAAAAAAATTCTTATGACTAATTATGTCATAATAATAAAATAAATTCCACTAAAAATAAATTTAATATTATTAAATAATAGAATTAATAAAGTTAATATTGTTGAATGATATAATTATAACAACATAAATAATTATATTAAGGTAGGTTTTAGAGAAAAAGGGCAAAGAAGAAAGTAAATTATTGGAGATTAATGTAATTTTATGTAGCCATAAAATTTTAAGGTAGATATATGTTACAGGATATATATACGCGCATATTTGAATTTATATTAAAAAAAATTATATATTTTAACTATAATTTTTCAAGTTAACAATAAAAACAATCCAAGTATTTGAGACATGAAAAAAAATATATTTAAACTTTTAGGTGACTTGTTGGTTTTTTAAAATTTAGTCTTTTGCCCCCATATTCGAGATAAATAGTTCTTTGTTTGGCTAATGATCATATGTTAGTAAAAATTAGAAATGCAGAATGCATTGATCCTTCAATTTCGAGTCTTGGACAGTATCTATTTGTAACCAAATTTTAAGCTCATATCTAAATTTTACATATATAATTAACTACGAACTTAGCTCTTCGATTTACGTTAAATCAAGGAAGTAAAGCATATTTTTTGTTCTACGTTGTCAACTCTCTTGTCTCCGAGTATGGTTTTTAAACCTCGATTTGCTAAACTATTGAGCTTTCTTAGCAACTTTTCAAATCAAACACTGCAGTGATGAAGCTGGATCATGTATTTTTAGTGATGTAACAAAGATGCTCAAATATAATATATATTAGAAATTAAAATTGATAATGAGATAATGAATTCCATTTGCCAAAATTTCTTCCAAAGGAAGCCAACACATTTAATACATGAATGGTGAGAGCCTCAAATCATGAAATCATCATAAATTATTTGAGACAATTTTTGACAAAAATTAAAACTGAAGTCACAACATTACACAATAAGAATTGTTGTTTAATCATGTATGTTCCAAAGCCAAAGCCCTATGACAAAAGGAATGACTCAAAGAAAGATATATTTGGGGCATTTACCGCCCAAACAACAAAATGTACGGCATTCGCAGAAAAACAGCCATAGCACACTCATGGTCCAACAGGTCATTACCAAGAGAAGCCTACTGCAATTTTTTCGGGAACTGCGAAAATATCGTTTTCCTTAATAATTTTCATAAACAAACAAACAAACAACATAACACCTTTCCACATAAACCAAAATCAAAACCAACTTCAAGATTCATAAAAACTAAGAAGTAATTAAAAAGTCACGAAAGCGCAAACAAACTCCCTAACACGAAATCCAGCCCCGATATCAAGAAGTAACCAAAGAAAAACTACCTGCATAGAAAGAGGTATAGAATAAAATGGTTGCCATCGAGACGAGAATGAATCAAACTAGGTGAAAGAAGGTTTCGTGAATGGATGAAGCATTATTATTATTATTATTATTATTATTATTAACATGGATTGATCTGCCACTAAAAATGAACAAATCCGATAGAACTTGCAGTAGTATTATGTAGCTAGAACAATAAAGCATTATTTCACCGGAACATCCGACAAGAAAACATCTAAAATTCAAAAATCAGAACACAAGGAAAACTGCAGACAATTATCAATCTCCAGCCAATTTTAATACCCAATTGATCACAAATCCTCTTAAATGAATATTCCAAACAAATCCAGAGCAGGACAATGAAACCAACTCATGATCTCACATCAAGTGATTGAATTCAAAATCTTAAAAACAAGGAGCAATAAAATTTGTCAATAGAAGAAATGGAAGCCGAAAAGAATGCAACTCCATTGAAGAAAAAAATCTCAAAGAACATAACTAAATGTGCATAAAATCCATAAATAAAATTAAATGATTGAAAACACTTGCCTATGGGGCTTGTCGTCACGCCTCTTTCAACTGACACCCAACACCCTAGCCCTTGAATTTCTGGTTGATTATCTTAAAACATCATTCCATATCAATATTACCTTAAATCTTAGTGACATAAATCAAAATTATTTAAAATAAGCTAATTAAACCAATTGCACAAAATCACCTTCAATGAAAATGAGAAATTTGTTGATTAGGGCAACTTATCAAGTTAATACAGTTTCTAGATGAAAAAAAAAAGAAAAAAATCAGTTAGTTAAGGTAACTTATCACCTCCCTAACATGCATATATAAACATTTTTTATTTTTCGTCAATCCAAAGCTAATAATACAGTTTCCAATAAAATACAACTCCAAAGGCCAACACACAAACTATGATTTCAAAATGAGTTGTGCAAGCATTGCAATCACATCAAAATATTCAAGTGTGGAACTAAAATAAAAAATATAGACTACAAGTAATCAAACCAAAGGCTCCACATTTGAATTACAAGTATAAGGAACCAATATGCTTACATTAGTCATACAGTTTACCTAATAAGAAATTATAAATATATCTACTGAAAAACCACTACTGGAAGTAGGATATGAATGAAATAAGATAGACCTCTAATGAAATGAATTAAAATGATATTGCACATAATACCATAAACATCAAATACTCGTGAAGTAATGCTCTGTAGATAATAGATATCATGTTCAGAAGAACTATTGATTCATTACATCAATATGATTAATTTAAAGCATAAGATTGATGTATTAATTTACTCATGGATTAGAGACACTGCAATAAGAGTTAAACACGAGAGTAATACAGCAAAAGTGATATGGTTAAGTAATAAAATTACTACACATAGACTGAGTTTGACTTGTAATTACAAGCAACAACAATATGTTTTAGCATTACCTCTAAGAAAATTCTTGATATCTCCTCTCTTTCATCCACACTTGCAACCTTGCCCTTTTTGAACTTGGGACACTGAATTTTTCTGTCAAGGAATCTAAATGCTCTATTTGCTTTGGAAGTGGTTGAATTGATTGTAGATGGATCATTGCCAGCCACAATCAAAGCTAACAAAATTATGAACCTACATAGAAATACTTCAAAGAAACAATGAAAAACATTATTCTCTTATACAATGTATGAACATATTTGTTTTCCACAGTGCCTTTATCAATTTAACTTTTAAAGGAATTGAAACAGAGAAAAAAATAGCAAGAATAACGAGGAATACAAAAGAACTGAATTGTGAAAAAATTTCTAAAAGAGTCTTTGACAATTGCGCACTCTTCACACCTTGAACAAGAATCTACCTTACTTATCAACATTTCCATAAACCTTCTAATGCAAAAATAGAAACAGATCGAGTATGTCACAAACAAAACGACGTGAAAAAAACTTCACCGTTCATCACAAGACAAAAATAATGACATATGAGTAAGGCAAATTAGCATCAGTAAGCCTCCCCAAGGTGGGGTTCAAATTGTCAAACCAACAAGAAACACTATATTCAAAACCAAATTTTCGACAAATCCCAAAACATTCACAATTCTTGCAAGCATAAACAATCAGCCTACACAATAAACTACATTCGAACCAAAATCGTCGACAAATCTAAAAGAACTCACAATTCTTGCAAGTAATCATATACAATCAGCCCCACCTAATAAAATACATTACAAACCAAACTAAAGCATTAGCAAGACCGAAAACACTCACTCTTCTTGCAAATTTGAGAGACAACTTAGCTCCGGCGCGATAAAACCCTCAAAGACTCCCTAGAAATGTTCCTATAAATATTAAGTTCCCAAATTCATCAACAATTGCTCGATGATAATGATTAGCCACATAATCAACAGATGACTTACATCTTTACAACATAATCTCCATTTACCGAACAACCAATGCTTGATCATCCACAAGGCTCTGGATCGATAGGTCCCAATCGGACAGCACTACTGTCAAATCTTCGATAATAACTCTCTTGAATGCCACATTGCAGTCGATTTTGAGGGGAGATTCAAACCGGAGGAAGAAGAAAGAGGTGACAAGAATCGGACGAAGTTGATTTGCTACAAACCCTAAACTCCAAACCAACACAAAATAAAATCGGTATAGATGACTCTAACGAAACACATCCAAAATAAAAATAACTACCTTCATCAAGGCGCGAGAAGGGGAAGATAGGAAGCGGCCGTCGCGGTGGTGAAGGCGGAGTGGGAGGCAGCGCCGGTAGTGGGAGAAGTGATTTGCTCTGTTTTGGGCGTCGGGTTATTAGGAGAGAGAGTGAGAGTAGGTTTTGTGGTTTTGTTTGTGGAAGAGGCGATGGCAGTAGGACGAGATAAAAAAAAGAATTTAGGGTATAACTGTGCTTTCAGGTAGCCATAAAGGCAATAGCGTATGTATATATGTATTATTATATAATTTGTGCGCAGCAGACTATTACATATTAAATTTATATAAATTTTATTTGATTTGAAGTTATGAATAATAAATTCTCTTAACAATACTATATATTGTATATATCTATATGGTCTGGTTATCGTGCTTATTTAAAAAAATCAACCCTGTATTGATTCATCTGATACAATACTATTCAAAAATTTAGAAAACATCAATTGAGAGTTTAAAAAGTACTGATTAAAAATTGGGAAAGCACCAATCATGAGTCTAGATAACGTATATTTTAAATATGACACATAAAATATAACACATACTTTATGTACTCTAGATGCTTTTTGGGATTCTTGATCTTTTTTGTTTGGAAAAATCATCACGCTATCATATGCTCTGTAAGAATATATGTTGTGTCTTATAGGAATATGTCATGTGCTCTTAATTTTTGTATTGTATTTGTAAAATATTAATGCAAATGATATACTATTTGTATTCTTTATCGATTTTATTTAAAAAAATCAACATGATTCTATTTTGAAAAAATCAACACCGTAACCATTGTCATATGTGTATATCCAAAAGTTAATCCATAGAAATGATAAACTACATATATAATTAATATAGTGAAATAATAATAATAATAGGAGCCAACAAAATTAAATAAATAAACATTAATGTAAACATAGACGGGATAACCTTCAGTTAATATATTTTAAAATCAAAAGATGATTATTTATAATGATGTACATGTTGCTTAAATTATTTTTCAACGTCATAGTAGATTGAAATTGTGACACCCCGGCCCTCAAGCCACGCAAAGCCGAGCGTGTTGGGATTGTAAACTGACCCCACAGGTCAACACGAGTCTTTCTAACGCACTTTGTCCTCACTCACGCACAACTTGGAGGACTTATCAAGGGTCATCTATCCTCAAATTACTCTAGAACAAACACACTTAACTCTAGAGTCCTTTCAATAGAGCTTCCGAAAAAGAATGTGCACATTGTTGTCATGAGTAGTCTATTCAGTCCATTTAATATATATTCAATCTTGGATGGCCTGACACCGGCTCATCCATAGGAGTTGGCCTAGCACCGGCCCAACTCCAGGGTATTACATCATCCTCTAATTAAGAATGCAACGTCTACGTTGCACCCCAAGGATCATCAACTGCTAGGCCTTTCATCAATCTGGTCAACAACTTCGGGTTGTCGCAGGTCGGCTCTGATACCAACTGTGACACCTCGGCCCGCAAACCACGCAAAGCCGAGCGTGTCGGGATTGTAGACTGGCCCCACAGGTCAACACGAGTCCTTCCAGGACGCTTTGTCCACAGTCGCAAGTCGGCTCTCATACAAACTGTGACACCTCGGCCCACAAGCCATGCAAAGTCGAGCGTGTCAGGATTGTAGACTAGCCCCACAGGTCAACATGAGTCCTTTCAGGATGTTTTGTCCTCACTCACGCGCAGCCTGGGAGACTTCCTAGAGAGTCACTCATCCTCAAGTTACTATAGAGTTCTTTCGGTAGGGTTTCCGAAAAAAAATGTGCATATTGTTGACATTAGTAGTCTATTCAGTTAATTTAATTTATATTCAATCTTGGATGGCCTGACACCGGCTCATCCATGGGAGCTGGCCTAGTACCGGCCCTACTCTGGAGTATTACAAAAATGGTCCAAAATTGATAGATTCTTCAACTTTCTTAAGAAAAGATCCGTAACCATATTGAATTGTCCGAAAAAAAATTAAATTGAATCAAAGTAAATTGTTGGGCAAATTGGGTTAATATCAATATGATTGAAATTTCCAAATATAACATGCGACTAGAAAGACAAAAATGAAGATAATGGCTCTAAAATAAGAATTCAATCAAAATCTTGTAATGAAAACTTACAAGAAAGAAAAATAACCAAATAAAGTAGTAAAAAGTTTAAAGTAGCTAATTCTTTTTGGAAGTGATCGGATGAAGCATGTTCTCATTCTATGTCAACATGCGATGAAGAGCCAGAGCAAGAACCCGAGAATGAAGAAGGGGCAATGCCCTTACTTGTCTACAGAAGGTGGGGATGGGATTGAGCTTGTTTTCGAAAGCCTAGGATTTTAGTATTTTAAATTATTAATAGTTGGACCTTTATTATATTTCGATTTTGTTATATAATTTGATCTGCGTTCTACCTAGGGTATAAATAAGGCTAGAGTTGTTTTTTAACATCTACTTTGAATTCAATCAAGTTTTGGAACTTTCAATCGTTGGTTATTTTGGGCAAATGAGGTTCTCATTTGATTATTCTTAGTTCTATCAATTGGTCCGACCTACCGGATCCCATTTCTGCCGAAATGATGACATTGCAGAGTGAACGAATCGATATAATAGAAGCCAACTAAGAGAATATGAGAGATAAATTGGATGAACCAATGTGCAACTGACGGAAAATAGTGTGCAATTAACCGAGATTGTAGTTTCCTTGGTTGTGTTATCATTGATGCTCCAGAACGCGATGCAAGAGAGCTCCTTATCAGCCAGAACATCCCAGGCAACATCAACAGGGCTTAACACACCCTAGGTTGTGCCACCAGCGAGCCCACGGACCCATGGTGAGGCCGTGGTACCGCCGGTCTACGCTTCCGGCCACAGAGGTGTGGCCGTGACGCCATTGCCCATATTTGACTGAGGCAATTCGATCGGTTGGGTAACAAGGGCAGAACAACAGTTTGAATTAATTTGCATCCCACCGGAGATGAGGTTAAGGCTGGCAAATAAATCAGGTCAGGTCGAGTTCAGGTTCGGTCAACTTTATACGGGTTAGAAAACCTTTGATCTGAACCCGATCTATTTAATTAAATGGGTTGATATATGTAACCTTAACTTGGCCTTTATTAATCGGGTCAACCTGAATCTGCCCTGTATAACATGTTTAAGTCTAAAATTTTTAAATTTTAATTTAATATTATAATGTATACTAACAAAATTTTCAAATGCATAATAGATATACATATTTAAGCAAAAACTATTTATTCATATCATGAAACCAATATTCAAGAATCGAATTAACAAACATTACATAATAGTACACAACACAATCATTTGTTTAATCCTAACTTTGTAGGAAATTTAGCTTAGTACACAACACAATCATTTGTTTAATCCTAACTTTGTAGGAAATTTAGCTTAATTTTTTTTTTAATTTTTATTGGCCATAAATATTTGAATCGGATTGGTAAAATTTAAAAAATATTTTTATATTTAAAATAATATTAATTAGAAAGGTTAGACGGGTTATTTCAGGTTGAAAATTTAGACCAAAACCTGATCCATTTAATTAAATGGGTTAAACGAGTTTGACCCAATTATTAATTAGGTCAAAAATTTCAACCCAAATCCAACTATTTCGGCTTAAGTTCAGGTCAGGTTATCAGGTTAGGTTAATTTTTGCCAGCCCTAGATGAGATAACATCGGCAGTGGTAGCCACAAAAGGCCCAACTTTGTATTGAATGACGTGGTTGAGAACGCAGAAGCCGAGACTATCGTGGGAAGAATTTTCGTAAGTTGTGGTGGCACGTTTCGATACAAGATTCAAATGAAGTCGATTTGAGAGATTATCTGAGATTAGGCAAACCGGAAAAGTGGAGGATTATACTAAGTTGTTTGTTCAATTGGTGAGTCAAGTACCCAGCCTCCCTAACGACCATTACCTCGGTTATTTTATGAAATGACTAAAAAAGACTATATGTGGTTCATTGCGATTATTGCGCCCGAATGACCTAAACATGGCAATGGAGTTGGCTAGGGATATCAAGTAAAATATGTCTATCTCAAGCGGCGGCCCCAAGAATCAGTCTTTTAGTGCCTCCTCACTACGCATGAGGTCATTCCCGCGGTTGTCTGCGGGAAGCGGGTTGGTGGCATCCAATTGGGGCATAAGAACGATGCATAATGGTTCCTCCAAATGGGTGAAATATTCGTCCGGAAGTGATACTGGGTTGCCCGGGCTGCTAGTAGCTCGGCCAAAATTCACCCGTTTGCCACATAAGAAGTTGGCGGATCCGTGGACTAAAGGACTCTGCTTTTGTTGTTGAAAACAATGTTGTTTAGGAGGAGGATATAATTGATAGGGAGCCAGAGCATGCACCCGAGAATGAAGAAGGGCCAAGCCCTTATCTACAGAAGGCAGAGACGGGATTGAGTTTGTCCTTGCAAGCCTCGGATTTTAATATTTTATTAATTATAAATAGTTGGATCTTTATTATATTTGAGTTTAATTATTTTATTGGGCTTGCGTTCTACCTAAAATATAAATAATACTAAGGTTTTTTGACATTCATTGAAAATTCAATAGTTTTGGAATTTTCAGTCGTCGGATGTTTTGGGCAAATGAGGTTTTCTCGTTTGATTATTTTTGATTCTATCAGAATGTTGCTCTTTTATTTGGTCAAAAGGTATAGTGAAAACTATATTTTCACATTATCAAATTTTCTTATTTTTGCTCAGCCGTTTAATTCCAATTCCGGACTGATAGAATTTCTTGAAATACTTTCCATTGATAGTTGTTTTAATTTGTCCCTATCCGATTCTATCAACCTATACATTCGATGAGATAACTTAGCTGAAATGATGAACAACCCTTCCCAATTATTTGATCGTTTCCCCAGTAAATGATAATTTAGTGTTTTGGATAAGATCGTTTTCCAAACAAAGTCACATTCTTGTGATACTATTAGGCGGGTGAGATTATTATAAGCTCTTTCAACTTTGCGTTTATTCAAATAAATATGTTACAACATATGCAGTTGATCTTCGGGGAACATTTCTAATACTTGTAACAACAACCGATCATTGTATTCCATAAGTAGACTCACCTATTTCAAAATCCTCAAGGACGGGCGGTGGTTTCTAAGGACAAAACTGCATTATGTCCATAAGTGAGTTAACATGGCATACTTCCGGTGAAAGAAGACTTTGCACTATGATACGCCCCAGAACTTTCTCGAGGGTATTCTCCCAACTTTTTTATTTTCCTCTAGTGCTTTATTTATCATTGCAATCAACGTCTTGTTAGTTCACTACAAGAAAATAGTATATTTGTAACGGAATTCCGTTACTAAAGTTCACGTAGCTAACGCAATTCCATCTCTAATTCCGTCTTTAATATCATTAGTAACGAAAAAAATGAATTTAGTAACGAAAAAACTTCGTTACAAAATTGATAATTTCTTATAGTGGTTATTTCTATTTGCGTATTGGCTCAAGGACAATACAACGACGAAAGAATGACACTTTTACTTTTGTCTTTTGTGATTACCGTTCATCAATCCCTTGTGATAGTTTGTGGTATATGAATGTGGTGAATGGTGTTGTACTTTATTAATTTAATGACCCGGTTTTGTCAAACTTGCGTCAAGAGGATTACCTCGACCTATTTGGTGAAATAGTTAGTGACCACCAAGATGAATAAATATATGGCTCTTGAATGAAGAGGGATATATTTGACACTTATGAACTTCCAATCAAAATAATGCATAATAATGGAAAACATAGTCGAATCCATAGAGATTGTGATTGTATTTCTTTAGTTGATTATTTAATTATGGTGAGAGATTTCAAGCAAGACAAATAAATCAAAATAACTATCCTAAGATAATCAAATGAACTTGAATAAAATTTTAACAATCAAATAAAGAAATAATACAATTTTATAAAAAAATTAGAGATCTCTATTCCAATGATTGAATAAAAAGTCAAATAATAGATTTGATCATCAAATTAAATAATATATTCAATCAATTGATAAATTAGTTATAGGCATTCGATACAATCGCATACCCAATTTTTCATAACCTTATCAGTGGAAATAATACTACCAATTAACCACGCCCTAAGTGAAAGAATTAAATTAGGTACGACCGTAGTAAAATTCTCCACTTGAAAATAGCACAAGAAAACCCAATTCGAATATTAATCAATTACAAAAGATTTTCTATACGACTATGCAATTCGTAGGCTAGGCTTGTTAACCTATTTACTACTTTATCGAATAAATATATAAAACGGATGCAATTAATTAGCACACAATTGATAAATCCACTTAAAATTTGGCTACGATAACAAATCAAATTTAGCGATTGTAGACACGCTAAACAGAAATCACATAAAGAAAAAGAATTTAGTTACTAAACATAACTAAAAATCAAAATCAATAAATTTTTCCTCGAGAGAAGAAGAAAAAGAAGAGATTGCATTCATTCTTGAATCCAGCCATTGGCGCATGTGCTTCTTGCGTCTTTTTTTTCTCTTCAAGATGACTTTCCAATTTATTGCCCTCTTTTTGAAAAAAAAAATAAAAATGCCACTCTAGGGAGAGTTTGATAATATTTTTTTATTTTTATTTCATAAATTTCTCTTCATGCAAAATTCTTAATACTACCTCCGTCCATAAGAAGAGTACCATGAGTTTTTTGCGTGTTGATCTTTCAATACTAAATATTATACCAATACATAGTACAAATTAAGAGAAAAGAACAAAAATACTTCTATCAGTCTCTTATAATACAAATACAATGATATTTGTGAAGTAAATTATACAAATATAATAATATTTTTAATGTTAAGTAAAATGACGCAAAAGACAAATGATATTTATCTTATGGGACGGAGGTAGTATATCATTTGGTTTTATGACTTCCTCTCTCTCTTTGGTTTGTAACCTAGACATGAGCATGCCTAAAAATAGGTAAGTATCTAGAATTTTAGGCAAAATTGCCTTTAAATTCCTTGTAGTTTCGAAACTCGGCGTAAATCTCCATTTTACTTTAAAAATTATGTGCCGCCCCTTTTACTTTAAAATATATTGCATAAAATCTCTTTTATGATTTCAAAACTTAGTATAAATTTTCACTTTTACTTTAAAAATTGCACGCCGCCCCTTAATACTTTAAAAATACTGCATGAAAATTCGCCATGCAAAATATATATAGGAAATCATTTTCTCATAACATATGGGAAGTTTTATGGCAGTGGAGTTTTATGCAATATTTTTGAAAGTATAAGGAAGCACTATTCAATTTTTAAAATTCAGAGAAATTTTACGCTGAATTTCGAAACTGCAGTAAAGTTATGAGCAATTTCATCAAAATTTATTGCACAATTCTTTATTTTCTTCATTGTTTAACACAATAATCAAATTCGATAAAAATTAATAGGATGAAACAAAATTATGATCAAACATGCAAAAACTCAAATGAACTTATTATTCATTAATATCTTACTAATAATATTCACTGCCCACATCAAAATAAAAATATTGTGCAATGATTCCGCCAAATGTAGTGACCAGACATTATTTAAACAAGTATCAAATATCATGTATCAATCCAAAGAACGTAAATAAGCCAAAGCATATTAACAATTCAATATTTCCTCAACGAAATGCTTTCTTTTATTGCTACCCCAAAGGAGTGTCTCAGATGATACCTTGTTCACATTGGGATAGCTTAATTATGTTCCTGATTAATTTTCACAGGACACTGTTCATTTCATCCCTTATTTAAGCCCCTTGGTCACATTCTTTCTCCATGTTTTGCTAGCAAGGATTTAATTTCAAGATTTCTTCACAGCCACGTTATTACAAAGATCATCATCACTTAACAGAGTTTACACGTTCTTTTGCTTTTAAGTGTGTGTATAGTATAGTATAGTATAGTTTAGTTTACAACTTGGGCAATAAAAATCACATGACCACCAATCATTTGAATATGTTTATTATCTATCTGCTCATGCTTGTTCTGCACTGCTACCTTGATTCTCATGTCGAGACTCGGCCAACGTTGCTGGAGAGGATTCCATCAGACTGGCAGCTATTGCTGCTTTCAAATCCTCGTCCTCATCCTCAGCCTCAGCCATTTCTGACTCCTCAAAGCGGTTATGAGAATCCGGGGGGCGTAGCCCTTGACTGCTTCCCCCGCGCATTCTTGAAGACATTGACGAGTTGCATGACTTGGTAATCCTCTCGGCATCTTCGGGCAACAGCCATTGGCCATAGCCATTGGAAGCCTCTGAGGATGCTATGGGACACTCCTTGGGAAAATTACCCCTCACCAAGAAAATACTCCACCCAAAACCCTTCAACGAGTCTAGGTAGGCTGAAAGGTAGAACTTGGATAGGTGCTCGGGTGCTGCATACAGGCTGTCAAAATTGTACCACTCGCCGTTCACATTCCGGATGCAGAACCAGTGGTCCTGCAAATGACATATGAAGGCGTTTTCCTTCTCCGGATCTATTTGAGCCGGCTCAGCCACAGGGCTGTCCAGGGGAATGACTTGCAAGTCCCACACTTCCAAAGCTTTCTGTAGAACCTGCAGTAAACACTTGTACGCGATTACTCACTTGATTGGGATAAAAGGCAGTTCCAGAAAGTATCAAGAAATTGTATAAGAATGCATCTTATGGTCAAAATCAGGCTCGCATAGTAGGAAAAAGGTCTATCATGCTGGATGCCATGCCCACCCCACCCATAATTTAAACAACCTCCTGCTCTTCTCCCCATCACTAAAGACAGCCGTTTGAGCCTTTGCCTTAAGACGATATCTGAATATTGATTAATGAATATGTACTTTCGCTCTTGACCATTTTAAATACACTAAGAGCAATTTCAAATCTGAACTTCATATAGTTAATGTAATGCTATCAACTTGTCAAATAGTCACCTACTATACAGATGGAGCTAATACTAACTCATTGAAATGCGGTGGGAAATAAGAACAACCTCACTTCTCCACTTATTCTGTAAAAATTTACCTGTAATCACATACAGTATTAGCCAAATATATACTAATGTAGACTATACTGCATTAATGTATGCAATCAAATCATCAGGAATCTTATAACATAACATATTGGCAAACCATATATAGACACACATTTCAGCCTTTCAAAACCCGCTTTATCATAATGTTCTGTTTTCTCATTACACCTTTTTCTTTTAAGTGCTAAAAATAAGAGGCAACTAAAAAATCAATGGGTGCAAAACCAAACTTGCTTAGCATATATAACATTTTCAAGTTTAAAGGTAATACCAATTACCAAATAAAAAGCATGTTAATATTATTATTATCATTATCACTTTTCTTCCTTTAAACAACTCCCAAATTAGACTAGTTAATAACCACGGAATTTCCAACTAAGCATATTACTTGATTTATGATGACTCCCATACAACAATACATTGAAAATGGTATCAATGGAGGAACAAACCAGTAGATCCACTGGAAACTTAAGTTATCTAATTTACTATGGGATGAGTGAGTTATCAGTTCACTAACATAATTGTAAGAAAGCACCTACCGAATTGCCATACCCAAACTGCTCCTCCATCAATAAAAACGACAGAATTGCTTCATTTTCTCGCATATGATATCTTTTCAGTCACAATGTAAAAAACACTCTCCTTTCTCTCTATTCCCATACTCCTATTGGCAGAAAGGAAGTGCACCAAATCAGCACATTATCTAAGAACTAAAGCAGAATGGTGGAAGAAAAAGAAAATATCTACAGAAATGATACTTTGGCAAATTGATACTTTGGAAGAAAACAGAAAATATCTACAGAAATGATACATTGGCAAATTTGACAATGTATCATTTCTGTACATATTTGCCAATGTATCAATTCTGTAGATATTTTGATCCCTACGTTCCTTTATATCAAGATCCAATTCTTGCAAGATCTACAATCTTCTAACAAGAGTATTACATGATATAGCAGACGCTATGTTTCGACAAATTGAAACCGGAAAACATTCACAGATGCTAACGAATTAAAATCTCATAGCTAGGCGTTTTCATTTCCTATCTCTACTCAATTTTTCAAGAAAACAAAAACCAATATGCCACTACAGAGATCAATTAAATTCATTATCAAAATCTCTACCCACAGCAACCAAAATTTAAAGAAAGAACAAAAAAGAGAATAGAAAAACCACTTGCCCAAACGCGCGCAGAGTTTTAGGCTAAACCAAGAGAAAAGATCGGAGAATTGTAATAAAACTACGTCAAACACAATCTAACAGTTAAACCTGGATGCTGAAGTCTCCATCGAGAGAGACGTTATGCGAGACTTCAGGCACAAAATCCCCAGTAACAGAGCCGTGCATCATCTGCCGCTCCGTCCGATCTAGATCGGATGCCAATGCCGCCAAATCGAATTCCGAAAAGAAGGGTCCCTGCAAAACCGTGTTCACGCAATGAACGGCGCACAGCTTGGACTCTTGTACCTCATGGTACAACATTCCGCCGTTGCTCGCGTCTCCTCCCTCGGTGGTACGATCCATGACCCAATTTTTTACCTATCGGTTCTTCAACAAAACCCTAATAAATAGAGAATAGGTTTCAACCTCCCTCGGTGACTTCCCTCAGGGGCAACTTCGGTTACATTTGCATCGCTAGAGAATAGACGAAGAAATGGAATGGGATAATTGAGCATTGGTCGGATTTTTATTTGAATTCAACCAAACTTGCCATCTTCCTTATATTTGGTATTTACTACCATGTTTTCCTGTTATTGTATACGGTTAGGTTGAATAAATTTAAAAAAAAAAAAAATGTTAGTTTTAATTGATTTAAAAGAAGTTGATATAAAAAACAATTCAATTTTATATTTAAATAATTTTTTTAAAAATTATTTAAATATAATAAACTTAATATTGCTAAACTGTTAAGATTATGAAAGAAAACATGCTAATATAAATAATGTTATTATTAAATGTTTTTAATTTATTTTAAAATTGAATAAATAATATTTTAAAAATAAATTGTTTAGCTTAATTAAAAATATATATATTAAATTATATTTTATCAATTATATGTTCAATTTCAATTTAATATGATATATAAATAAAAATATAATTAATTTTAAATAAATTTTTCTACTTTAATTTAAAATTTATTAATTATATTTTAAAAATTAAATTATTTATAATTATATTTTAAAATATTGATATCTCAATTATTCTTTTTAATTTTTAATTTAAATATAATATATAAATTAAGTCTAGTGGTTTTAGATACTCCAAGCCTTGGTCTAGTCCTTGCGAGTCTTATACCATAGGCTAAGGAGATAGACCTATTGATATGTATTCAACCTACCCGCTTCTCTTATAGAGCTTACTTGGTCGCCAATCTCCTGCTCTATTGATGCCGGAAAAGTCTGTCAAAATTGATTTAATCGTAAGGTTCTCCAGCCTATTCAAGAAATGATTTGGACTATTTTACAATGTTCGTGTGATTAGCATAACGAGGAAGCAATAATTGGACTGATAATGTAAATGAAGCACTAGAAATTAGAATTAAAAAAGTTAAAATTTTATTAAAAATTGAAAGAAAATAAAAGAAAGTTATAAAATAAAAATAAAAATCTGAGAAGACTAAGAAAAATTAAAAAAAAAATTATTCTATGTGTAGAAGGTGTAAAGATCTTGTTCACATCATAGGAAGGTTGTTTTCATTCATCTTACGTGGATCCACCATTAGGAAATAAGCTTTCTCTTTTGGATTATTTCCAGCTCACATTCCAGTCTAAATTTTTATTAGATTTTCTATATTTCTACTTTTCTCCACAAATATCGCAACCCCAATCATTAAGAAGGTGAAGAATATGTATGAAAAAGATCTGATCTCTCGTGAATCTTGTTATTTTCTCCGGAATCTTGTTGGATAAATTGTTTATCTCTATCTTTTCTTCGACAAATTTCACATTCTCCCTACAAAACAACCCTATGTATCACCTCCTTACCAAATCCACGAGTTGTCTCCTTGGTGGGCTGCTACACCAGCCGGACCGGTCCTGCTTGGGGCATGTTATTGCTTGCTTTCGGCCTTCAGTTGCAAGAAATAAGCTAGGCCAGTTTTGGGCTTCTGACTAACATTTGAATTGGGCCGGCACTAGGTTATTATTTTGGATGGGTACAAATGGCCTCCACAAAATTATCTGAACAAAATTAACTTGTAGTCTTGATATTTCTTTAAATACTTTGTGTTTCAACCATTCATCTAACTTTGATCGGTACTTTCCCCGTTAAGGACCACTTATCGATCCTTGCGTCTTTGGGACCTTCCGGGAGGATGACCTTCCAGACCATATTGTCTTCCTGGAATATCTAGGGCCGTATATAATTTCAGAAGGCTGATTCGGCCTTCTCGCTAACCATAGTTCCGGATTATAGCTCCTTGGGGTTGTTTATAGGGCATATATGACACCTTCGTAGGCGGGCGATGCTCAACCAAGTTCCTTGAAGCCTCGGATTCTCGTATTGGTCCCACACAAAATAATCTCTCGAATTAAGACGACCATTGTCTCCCTCTTTTAACACTCAAAAGGGTGTTGATTTGCGTCATTCTAGGACAACTTCATCCAAAATTGACCTCCTCTAACGGGTCTTGGGCCTCAAACGGTGAGGTAGCTCTTTTCACACTCAGCAGGGTGTTGATTTGCGTCATTCTAGAGGAAACTTCATCCCCTAAATTGACCTCCTCCAACGGGTCTTGGGCCTCAAACGGTGAGGTAGCTCATCGGATCAGAGAGCAAATTTCGTCTTCGGCTTGATCCAAAAGAGATGGCTGGGAAGTAGCCCCTTTCTGCCCGCCGGGAAGGTAAGCGACATGATTTCCTATTTGTATGAATAGGAAGACGGACCGGCCTGCTCTTGCCTCCAGATCCTGCAGAATCGGGTCGTCACTCATGACGAACATATGAGTTGTTGGGCCATTTTCGGCCTCGGTTTCGAGGCAAAAATATGATCGCCTGGACCTTAAAGTCTCCATCGTAATGTAAGGCTCATTCAAGGTCCCGATTAGTGGCTAGTATACCCAAACTTGCTTCCGATAGCTCATCAAAATCGAGCGCTTTGATAATCGGTTCATCTTCTGGAACATGTACTATGTTGGATGCTGCATGAGGCTGCTGGCCGAGAGGAGATTCGCCCTTCGGAAAGACAGACTTCGGCCTCCATTCCCATCGGGCTTGAATATGATGGCGCAGATCATTCCAATTCAATTTCGGCCTTTCAGTGACCACAACATCCTAATCGTCTGGCTGCCGCTTCCTTGCCTAACCTTCCCGATCTAATTTCGGTCTTCCAATGACCACAACATCCTGATCGTCTGGCTGCCACTTCATTTTTTGATATTTCTGGTCTAATTTCGGCCTTCCAGTAGCTGGTGCCTCTTGATCGCCTTCCTGCTACCCCTTTTTCTGACCTTCTGGTAAAGACGGGTAGCTAGGCGTTGTCGTTGTATTCTCTTTTCTTGAGTCCTTGTAGGAGGTTGTAACCTCTACACCTTGTGGTTCAAGGACCAGCTTCTATCATTCAGAACCTTCTCGGGAAGACATGTTTGATGTAGTGTAATTACTACCTGATCCACTAAGGTCACTCGCCGTACCTCTTCGCTCTTCTCAAAGTTCATTTCGGCGACCGTATTAGTGGGGGAAAGTCTGTCTCACACCGAGCTACTTTTCGGAGACCATATTAGGAGGGAATGGTTCGGAATCAAACTTCATTTCAAGCTTCTCAGCAAGCCAGATGCGGCTTTCTTTGATGGCTTTCCTTGGGACTCAGCCAGAAAGTCTCATCCCCTTCATCTTTGGCTTCGGTAGTTACTCCCTGGCATGAGCAGGGTGGTTTCCGCTATGAAAACTCTAATTTCAGACTGTTTCAGCTTCTCTCAGGAGTTGTTCGGCCTTTACAGCTTTGGACATTAACTTTAGGAAGTCATAGTACTCCTGAAGAGCCAATTTTTCATACAGGTGGTGCGTCACATTATCTATGTCATGTTCACTACCTAGTTCTACGGTATGCCAACTTGTTAGCTGCTTTCGGACCTTTTAAACCATTTCAAGAGCTGCTCCACAAATTCCTTGTCATGCTAATGCAAATTCTTCAAGTCTGATACGGTTCCTTCTGGGAGGGGGTTGTAGAAACATTTGTGGAAGGCCCTTTCCATGTCTGCCCATGTATGGAAGAAATTAGGAGGCAACGGACCACACAATGTGAAGGCTAGGCCGGTCAACAACAACAAAAATATCTGGAGCTTATATTAGACATTATTCCCAAACTCTCCTACACATTGAGTTGTAAATCAGCTAACATATTATGTTGTAGAACGAGAATCTTCTTATGAAAATAACATAAACTTGGGAATCCAAGCATTACAGGGTAGTGGATCATCTATGACAATATAATACGGAAAAGAACTTTGATTGTGGGGCCTTGCAAGTAGTCAGTTAGGATCGCTGAAAAATTATATGAATCATATCTTCGATTTCCTATGGATTTACGATGAGATGTTGCACCGGCGCCATCTCTGCCTGCTCCCCAGGCTATTCGAGAGATGCCTAAATGTGTGGTGGATTGCATAACGCCGGCTATGGAAAGGCTTGATAAGCAGGCCACCGAAGCGGAAAACAAGCTTCGGATGCCTTCGTCTGCTGCAGTGGCATGTTACCGGGGATCGGCATCGCTCTTTGGGTAAGAAGTCCATAGCTCTGCTGTAACCCATAAACAATAGGGAGTTGGTCTTCTTCAGCAGCTCCTTGCTCCCTAACATATTGGGATGGCATTGGGACTGGTCCCCCTGGTTCCCAAGTCATTCTAGAAGGCGTTGGGACGAAGGAAGGTGTTGGAGCTGCCGTCATCCATGGCCTCTAAGCACAGAAGGTCCCTTGTCCGGCCTCCGGGTTTCCTTGGAGGCCCGGAATGGAAGCTGGGTACTGAAAGTTGCTCCAGCATATAGGGAGTTTGCTCGCCATGCAGGGCTGATAGCACTGATCCAAAAGTCATTACAAATCCATCGATTGATGGCGGCCCGAATGAGGCTTGCCCCGATGATTTTTTAGACCATCCCAAATTTTGGATGTCAAAGAAAGGTCCTCCAAACCGAGTAACCTTGCCGAAGAAGATGACATGACCATATTTCAGTGTTTAGGAGGTCGGATCTATTGCAGGGCTGGTTGTGAGACCTGCGGGAGGCCAGATCTCTGGCTGGCTGGAACTGACTTTCAGGGTCTTGCCTCCTCGAGCCTCATCCTCCTAAAGCAGTGCAAACTTGTTCTAAATGGCCGATTTTAGAACATCAGTGATGTACTGACATAATTCCAGGGCAGATTCGTGACGGAATGACTAAATAATCCCACGAATTTGCTCCTGAGGTACACCGGTAGGAAGGATGATAATCTGATCCGACCTTCCACCAGCTGCAGACGCCCCATCATGTGGAGTGAGGTGATTGGGAAGTAGTTTGGTTAATCATGACGACGAGTATGAACTACGATCGCGAAGCATTTTCCCACCATCCAGAGGAATGAATCGCATCAAAGGGTTGAACTCAGGTAAGAAGTGCTTCAATTATAATTTATGTGCGCTAGAGAAGAATTCATATATACAATTTGTTCTTAGGGTGAGGTGATTTGGAAGTAGTTTGGTTGATTTGGGGCTAGTGTGG